GTCGCACAGGCAGAAAAAATGGTCGCAATCTGGAGCCCTGCTATATCATCTGAAGCCATTCCATATCTTAATGTGAGGGACATAATTTAGGTCTACAGAAACTCATCTTCCTTCTGCTGCAGCTGTCAGTCATTCTCCGCTCAGCATTCAAACAGCACGTCACGTTCAGTTATGACAGTCAGCACGGTTAAACTCTCTCTCCAAGATGATATATTCCCATTATAATACTTTAAGTTTAAGGAAGGAAGGAATTATCACAAATAGAAAGATTATTAGAAGCCTTTCTCTTTCTTTTTCTCATGATCTTATTTTCATGAATGCATTTTGTTAGAATACAAATAGTTAACAGAATAAACATGTTTAAATTGTATAATGTGCACCAAAGATTTTTTTTTTTTAAAGATATTGTTCTAAAGATATATATTTTTACTCAAATGTAGTTTTTCTCTGTAATGAGGAAGTGAGTATTTAGTGGATTATGTTAAACAAATGGCTTAAAAAAAGTGACCATTAGTTCCACAAACACAGTATTGATATTCTGTAGTGGTGTAGAAAAAAAAATAAAAAAATAGCGCTGGTGTTAGATATTGGCCGATTATTAGAATTTGGAATACTCTATGTAATCTTATGCCGGGCTCACACTACAGGAGTTTTAAAATCCTAACTGATTATGAAATCTGGTTGCAGCACACACATAAGGAGAATCTTTGCAGATTATCTTCCCTCAAATCTTAAACATGCACACACTACAAGATTTTAACATCGTGGCGCATCACACACTACAAGATATTATTAAGATTATCATGCCAGAGGGAGCGCCTCAAGTGATCGCCTCGTGTAATGCGTGAGCAAGAATCTCACCGCAAGAATCCGCAAGCGGGTTTCCTTCACTCGTCATTGATATTTCAGTGATGTTTACATATGTTAGCTAGCCTGCTAGCTGCTTTCTACACTCACCCGGTACATTCAAAACGGAGGCGATTTCACTCCAGCGCTTCTCTTTCTCCTTATGGTTGTGATACGTTTTCGACACATTATACAGACAGTCGTGTTACTATAAAACGTCAAGCAGTTTCCTCCGTCTCCACTATCCAAATGAGCCGTACAGCAGCTGGTTTGCAACTGTGCATTGGCTATTGTGAAATATATTACTGACGTAATCATATAGCCGTCATCATCCCGATTTAAATCCTAAATATCAAACATGTTTGATATGATCGGGGCGGCCCCGATTTGTGTGCGAGCAGATCGGGAGGTGCAAGATTCGATCGGTGAACGCCTCACATTACCAGATAATCCGCGCCAAACATCGGGACCGATCGAGGGGCTCAACAAGATTTTTGCTCCGATTCTCGGGAGGGGGAAATCGGGGCTAAATCGGGCTAAAAATCCTATAGTGTGAGCCAGGCTTTACACTGCAAAATAACTCAAAAAAGATTAAAAGATAACACCATAATTATTTACTGAACCCTTAAATTAATCACAATTACATAATGAAAGCCATAAAAAAAAGACAATTAATCGCGATAACCATGATTATTCTTAGACAATTAATAAACAGCCAAATTTCATAATCGTGACAGCCCTAGTTGTAATTCTAATTAAAAGTAACACTGACTCTGGTTTTTCATGTTTAATACTGTAAAGCTGCTTGATTTAAGGCTAACGTTATCTATTGTACAAAGTACTATATAAATGAACGTGACATGATTGGACTTTACTGGAGTAACTTACCGAACTGCAGAGCTCATGCAAACATCCACATCGCTGTGATGAAATCAGATGATTTATTCATCCAAACGCCGCTCAGCAGCTTCAGGTTCGGCTGCGTTTGCGTTGAACTGAAGCACGGTGTCTTCTCTTGAATTACATCCATGAGCGCTACACTGGTCAAACCGCATTATTGCAGGCTCTTACATTAGGTCATATGAGATCAAACGACTATTTGACAACAAAAATATTTGTTGACATTTTTTTATTTATTGTTGTCGATAATGTCGACTAATCTTTCAGCCCTAGTTTATACGTGTCTTTCTATCTCTATTCTGCACCAAAACGTTTGTGTGTCTGTACAGTTAGAAACAAACTTACTTCTTCCTTTCATAGAAATGCTTCCCAATGTGGGAGGGTAACCTGCGGCGGATGCGTGCGTCTGACAGAAACAAATCAAAGTTGCCCAGCAGTTTCCTTTTGGCTTCAAATGGCTTATTCTCAGTTTTCAACATCTTGAAAGGAATCACCTAACAAGAGAAAATGTGTTGTAAACATAAGATGACGCCATATTTCACAATACCTGATTGTTTCAAAGTTTGTAGAGACAAGCTCCAATAGAAAAGGAGACTCGTCTGGATACACGCTGAATTACTCTAGCACTTTTTAACCCATGACCAGCACTGAGACAGAAGGAAAGGGTTTGCTGAAGTGCATATAAATCTAGTAAACTTATAACAATTAGACAGATTAATTGGTACCTCTATGGCATTTTTGATCCCTCTCTCTCTGAGTAACTTCTTGTAGAATCTCACTGCCTGTTCTGAGGTCATTTTGGGTTCATCTCTGGTGAAGAGACACACGTCTCCTGAATCTGTCCTCAGCCCATGAGGTAACGGACTGTGGGGCAAAACACACTTGGTAAGAGCAATAACATACTTAATGAACTTAAGTTTCTCTAAATCAATGACTCTAGATTCATTTCCCATTGAAACACTTACATGCGAATGGTTTGCTCCTTTTTAGGGATTTTCCATTGAGTTAACAGTAGAGAGATGGTCTGACCATCATTCTCGAAGAGCTTTTGGGATGTGGAGCTGCTCTTTATATATGCCCGTAATGCCTGTACAGCTTTCTTTACCTGTAATACATGTTATTAACTAAATTAATGGCTTTTAAACTGCAGTAAGTTAGCTCTAATACCCAAACTCAGAAACAGCCATAGAACATTTTACAAAGACAGCAACCAAAATCATGACTAATACAACTGCATCAGGCACATACATAAAACAAATAATAAAAGCAAAGATAACATATGTTTTATTTAACTACTTCGAGACTTGGGTGCTTGGCACAGCAGTTACAGCTACAGCAGTTAGCCAACATGCAGCCTGGTTTGTTACTAGATTTTTACACGGTTCCCACCCAAACGTAAATATACAAACATATAACAAAATTATTACAACTTAACAAACATGTAAGGGTAAAACTATCAAATATTTCTAGTTTACCTGAGACCGATCAAGATCCAATTCATGTCGTGGGGAGTCCATGCTACACGTGTGTTGAGAAAGCATTAAAAGCGCATGCGCATTTCCGAAGTTCTTCTTCTTCTTCTTCTTCTTTAAATTTTATTGGCGGTTGGCAAACAAACTTAAAGGTGCATTTTACCGCCACCTACTGGACTGGAGTGTGGGCAGGTATTTCTGAAGTAAACGTCACAAGCACTTTTATTTTGAAAAGAGATTAGGGAACGGTCCGCGTGTCGTCACATCCGGCTTCGATTAGTAGCGTAAAAGACTTTCCGCCTGTATAAATTGTCTGTAGCCAATTTTGTCAAGAAAATTAAACTAACTTTGTTGAACTTGACAGTAAACATCAGTATTTCAAACGGTCTATTTAGCCTTAGACGATAGCCTACCAAATGTATAATCTTCCATTTTAACGTGAAACATTATGTAAGCGAGGCGATTGTCAGCCTTGCCTGTGTAAATTTAATTGTAGGATCTCCAACATTATTGGGTAATTACAGTAAACAGTAATAAGAATAAAGTAAAGTAAGTGCATGAAAGCAATGCTAACATTATTATTTTTTCTTTTGTATAGTCTTAACTCGTGTTTAATGTTTTATGATATATATAACCTTATTGCTCTTTAATGTGATGTTGTTTGTATGCTATTATTGCATTTCTTCAATAAAAAGCTGGTCTGACTATGGAGTATTGTGCATACATAAACAGCATGACTTGTGCACTCCCATTTAAATCATGAAATATGATTGTAAACTGTGGGTTTGATTAAACAGCTGTGATGCATTGTACATTAGTACTGTAAATCACAACAATCCCGTGCTATGGGCGTTGGCATTCATACAGGTTACAGCGGAATTTTACACAACTATTCGAAGCTTCTGCATTATTTCATTTTCCTGCAGCGTTTAAATTTAATAGTTATAAAAATTCTGATTTAATATCATACTTTTATTATTATATTATTTTCTAATATTCATAAAATATTTATTATAATAAATATAAAATGATCATATATTATTTATTCAAATGAATAGAGACCAACGTTTTCATTTCTTGCGGACGTTTATAAATATACAAATATATCATATTAAAATGGTCTAAAAGTAAGTGTAAGCAACTTAATAAATGAAATGAAGTAACATTATTAATAATACGCTGTTGCATTATTCTCTGCCTTAATCATGCCCATTTGGCCTTCCAGCTAGAATTACTCACATGCAGTGCAAGTTCCAGGGCATTAAACACAAAAACAGCTAAGAGCAAACATCCATTTTCATTTGAAGTCATTTTAGTGTTTTATTTTTTGGAAGTTTGATGTTTACATCCCCAACAGGAGTGTACAGAATTTACACCAGCTGATATGATAAGTTTGTTTTTTTAACCACATGGGTGCATCTGTCATTTGTTATGTAATGACATCACAGTAAACAGATTCATCTGTTCATCTTGTGCATTATTACATCTCTAAATAAGTGTCATTTTATTTGAAGGACCAAGGCCTCTTTTACGACCTGATCTTGACAATTATGACTCTTGCAGGACTTGCCAGGTAAAGAGCAAGGGTACTGGCAAGCTTAGACCCTGTATGGACCCCTTTCATGCCATAACGAAACAGTCAGCAGTCTCTAACTGCCCAGATGATGCTATTGTAAAGTGATATGCAATCAGAGACCCTGCATTCTTATAAGGGGAAATGATCTGAGTGTTATGTTTGAATGGGGCACACAGTAATGGCATTAACCTTTCAAAGAGATGACACCAAGACTCCCTCTCTCATATTTTAACATAAAATTAAAAAGCGGACAGCTTAAAAGAAAATTGCATCCATTTTAAGATTATGTACCAGTGGAGAGAAACTGGCTTTAACAATTGGGCTACATGAGTGGCATAGCTGAGCTCTCAATATGAGAAAGCTGTCACACTGAGCTTGTCTTTCTATATTAATGTTCTTCCTAAAATTGATACTGTCACTTTGATAATGTCCTTTTTCCAAAGTAATTTTCTTAGACTGATCCACAGTGGGATCACTGGATCCTCCTCAATCCCAGAGTGCACCAGGGAAGTCCTTCTATCTGCATTTAGTCCTTCTCAGGTACCAACTTCAGCACCTTGCCAATTGCGATTGTCTTACCTAAAAAATAACATAAAACATCTTAAATTTTAGTATTTAGATAGAATATTAAATCTATCATTGGACTTCTGAAAATTTGATATTTGAATTATTATATTAGATTTTCCTAATATCTTACCCTCATCTCTTAAGGTGAAACGTCCCATCTGAGGGAAGTCTTTAAAAGTCTCTAAGCAGATCGTTCCTGCGGCCCTAAGACGGGCGATGCATACTTGGTCTTGTTTGACGAAGCGTGGACGAGTCTTGCTCTTGTCTCCTGTCTTCTTGTCCACCAGACAGATTAACGCCTAATTGTGGAGGTTTTTAGGAACATGACAGTTAAATATTTTAGGCTACCAAACCATAGAGCTCTGTTTTTACACCTTTTATGTCTGAATGTTTTAGGAGTGCACACAAAATAACTTACTGTTATCTGCACTTCTTCTATGCAGGTATGGATGTGTAGTACTGCATTGTAACCTGGGCATATAATGGATTTGTGCTCAATAATGACAATCTGTGAACAAGAACGAAGAAAAAAGCCATTAGGACTTGCTTAAAAAATGACTAAATGAAATAACTAAACAAAATATTCTCCCAGTGTTGAAATCCTTACCTGGGCATCAAAAGTGCGCCCTGAGTGGCAGAGGTTCTCAGCATTGCATAGGATAAAGCCTGGGAGAATCTCTTCCTCCTCAATGCCTTTGAGCCGGAGCTTCAGGTTTTCACCGGGTCCAGCGTAGTCCGTCTCCACATCATCAGAGAGAAGGCTCAACACTTCCACCGTGTGCTGGGAAATCAGAACAAACAATGTTTCAGACATTGAATGTGAAAATGCAAGATAATGGCTAAGATTCATGATGGTTGTGATAACAACAAACTGTATTTGTACATACTATTGTTTGGTACAGTCTTACCCTATTTGGCATCATAGTAAGTTGTTGAGCTTTCATGATACTTCCAGATTCCAGTTTTCCAAGCACCACGGTGCCCATGTCCTACACAAAAGATTATAAAGGAGCATTATGGACTCTATCTGCCGATGTTAGAGGTTTTTTTAAATTGATCAGTATCGGGCAATATTAATTTTGCTTGCACCTTTGCCATCATTTAACACTCACTTAAAGTTCATCATTATTTTACTATAAATTTTACTGTTGTGATGACTAAATTCACTTGTAGCATTTTAAAAAAAAAATCATTTAGACAAATAGTATAAAATTTTAATACTAACCAATATCTCATGACAGAATGTATGACTAAAAATATGAGCTAAATGACTAAAAGTAAAAAAAAAAGTAAAGAATGTAACTATTTTACATTTTGAATTTGTATGAATTCGTACAATTTACTTTGTAAAAGAAAGCGTACAATTTTTAGGAATAAGCTTAAGAATACGTTTTTTTTTTTTTTTTGCAATGTACATTTATAACACTATACTTTGTGTTTTCTTACCTTGGCATTAAATCACAGAAACTACTTTTACTATTGGGGTCAATGGGAATGCAGAAATTATATTTGTTGTACTTTGTGTTCACCATCATAGAAGTTTAGCCAACTATGACGAATTTGAAATGTAAAACACGTTACAAACTACCTTAAGAGTGTGTTGGTTTATCAGTCAGAATTCTAATAATGGTGCGCATTATTTTTAACATTGGTGCATTTAAAAAAAAAAACTTTAGCTATCAAAGTTAGGGGGGAAAAAAACAATCTTTTTGGGTGTCAAAAGCTTATTTGAAGAACTTTCTCTCCAATTACTGACACTTCAATCTGATGGTAACCCCCAGCTCTAGCAAGGCAACTAAACAAGGCTTTAAATAACGTAATGAACTTAATCTCATTACATGTGCTGAACACAGGACCTAGTTTAGCTTATTGGTTTCATAATACCTCACACATGTAGTTTCAATGGGAAAAGAACTGCTGAGAAAACAATTTCCTTCTTCCATTATACTAGATAGTTTCCTGCCAAAACACTCCCTCATGCTGTGGTATTAAAATAATTGGAAATCATCAGCAGAAACTGAGACAATAGCAGTATTTGGAGCAGTAAGACACTCTTGACAGACACTCAGCATATTATTTCAGAGCAACAGATGCGGTTTTGAGGAGCATGTGGCTTATGCAAATGTACTTAGTGAGATTGCGTTTAACTGTTCTAGCATCTGTCAGCATTACAAAGTCATTAAACCTGCTATCAAATGTCAAGATAACAATACCATCTTTCATTTACCTTGTATTTATCCACAATAGACAATCGGATGGGACCATCACTTGATCTGTTGAAGTTTGGCATGCTGTCCAGATGTGGAATGAACGGTAATCCCCTATACAAGTTCAGAGTTGAAATAAATTGCCAATTGTCACTTTCACCTTCATATATTGACGCTAGCCTGAAAAATGACATGCTATACAGTACTTACGTGTACCAAGGGCACAGCTCGGAAGATTCTTTCAGGTTGGCTCCAGTCATTCCAGAGCAGGGCATGAAGTGAATGTCTTTCTTTGGATTAAAGCCCACCTTCTTCAGAAATGGCACTAACTTCTCTTTACATTCCTCGTATCTGTGGGAAAATGTGTACTAATTGGTAAAAGAAGGACAAGATACAAGAATAAAAACGTTAGAAATCTACTTTATTCACCTATCCAAACTCCAGTCCACAGTGGGATCGTCCATTTTGTTGATGAGGACTATCAGATGTTTGACTCCAGCTGTTTTGGCCAGCATGGCGTGCTCCCTTGTCTGACCTCCCTTTTCAAAACCGGTCTCAAACTCGCCCTTTCTGGCAGAGATGACCTGAAGAAAAGCAAGGTTTTCTTAAATGTCTGTCAATAAATCTAGACAAAAATAAAGTCAAGAGCTGTTAATTTATTTATTTAGTTTAATATATATCTACACTACCATTCAAAAGTTTGGGGTTGTTAAAAAATATTTTAATGTTTTTGAAAATAGTCTCTTATTCTCATCATGGCTGCATTTATTTGATCAAAAATACAGTAAAAACAGCAATATTGTGAACAATATTACAATTTAAAATAACTGTTATTTAATATATTTTTAAATGTAATTTATTCCTGTTATGGCAAAGCTGAATTTTCTACAGTGCTTAATATTTTTGTAGAAACATTTTGTGATACATTATTATTAAGGATTCTTTAAAAAACAGGAAGTTCAAAAGAACAGCATTTACTTTGGCAAAGACTTGTACAGCTTAGCTACAGAGCTATAAGCAATAATCAGTCCTGCTGTTTCAAGAGGAACTCACCAGCACTGCCAAGTCAGCTTGGGATGCCCCTCCAATCATGTTGGGTACAAAGCTTTTATGGCCTGGGGCATCAAGAATAGTAAAGTGCTTTTTCTCAGTTTCAAAGTAAGCTCTTCCAACTTCTACTGTTTTCCCCTTGTCTCTTTCCTCTTGGTTTGTGTCTAGAGCCCAGGAAAGATACCTGCAGGGACAAACAGACGTATGAGATGTCATTTCAACCCAGTCTTCATCATGAGAGCAAACATTTCACTCAAAAAGACATGAAAATTTGATGTGCTCACACAGACATCCAAGACTGACTATGCCATAAGGTTTTCTTATCTTAGACAAAGCTTTTTAACCAGACTTCATGTTAATCAGACTTCAAGACATTTATAATGTTACAAAAGATATCTAATTCAAATAACTGCTGTTCTTTTCAACTGTGACACTGAGGACTGGAGTAAAAAAGGCTGCTGAAAATTCAGCTTTGCCACCACAGGAATCAATTACATTTCAAATTGTATAAAAATAGAAAACAGTTCTTTTAAAATTGAATAATATTTCACAATATTACTGTTCTTACTGTATTTTTGATCAAATCAATACAGCCTTGGTGAGCATAAGAAACTTAATGAGACCATACTTTTCATAGTCAGTAGTGTATGAAAAGACATTAATAACAATGTCTGTTTACCAAGTCTCTCTATTCTTCTCTTTCGCCTCCCGTTCATATTTCTCCAGCGTCCGTTTTTCCACCATACCAGTTAGATACCTTAATGAAAAACAATTAAATACGTATGTGTTATATCATATATCATAATCATATCAATCTTTATTACAGACTCAAGGTCCAAATTAAAGGGGAAAAAAACAAACAAGACAATAGGACAACATATACAACCCACAGCATCTACCACCACAATAAAAAGTTATAATGTATAACAGGACGTTAGGTCAGTCAAGGCTTTATTATAAAAAAATCATGGTTGACTCACATAATCTGTCCACCAATTGTAGACTTGCCTGCATCTGTACAAAAAAAATTAATAAATCAGGCAATAAAATCAATCAATCAAATAAATAAATGATTCTGGATATAATGCTTGCTAGATAAGCAGGCGTTGTTACAAAGAAAATATAAAACTGTATATTCCGACACTAAATGACATTCTAACTATGTTAACATACCCACATGTCCAATGAACACTACATTCACGTGTTCTTTCTTAGGGGCGTCCGGTGGAGGAGGAGGCAGCTTGGGAGTCGGCATCTCCTCATCCTCCTCCATCATTTCATCCTGTGCCTCATCCCCACAAAATCCTGTGTCCGCCGGGGATCCACCTCCTGGTTCCTCCTCATCCGGCTCACCTTTCTGCTCCCACGTCTCCACTGCACTGGCATCTGTCTCTCCATTCTCCACTGCAGCTGCAGGGACAGTCGCATGAACATGTTTGTGTTTAATGGATGCAGGATTCAAGGTTAAGATTTACTAAAACACTGACCTGTTCGTGGAAAATACAGAAACAAGCCAACATACAAGCCATATTGAAATGATTCAGTATCTAACACAGTCCTTTAATCATAACCAGTGTTATTTCAGTTGTGTCAGCTCAGCTGTTTAGTAAAACAATGTCATTTAGCTACATCTCGGGAAATGTTTTTAAAAATGTAAATGCTTCTTATTCTAAAAACAGCGAAGGACCTCCTGAACTTGAAGACAAGCAAACAAAAGAGTCTGTATGGCAGGGTTGCCAGGTTTTCACAAGAAAACCCGCCCAATCGCTACTCAAAACTAGCCCAATCACGTTTCGAGGGGGTCCCCAGTTAATAGTTAAAAATCGCGTTCCGGGGGGTAAAATACACGTTTCTTAGTGGGGTTCCCCTGCTAAAATTCGCATTCCAGGGGATAAATATCATTATTGGTGTCGCTTCAACCCCCGGACATGAAAAACAACCTGCGGCAAAAGTGTTAAATTAGCCCAATTCCGCGGGAAAACCGCGGACTTGGCAACACTGCTGTACGGGCTAGTAAAGGATTATTCACTATAAATTGAAACATTTCTCATCATTTACTCCTAATTCATGATGATTTGTTTAAAACCCATATGACATTTCACAGAACACAAAAGGACACATTTTGAAGAGTGTTTATATACAGGACAAAAATAAATATTTTGTCATCATTTACTCAACCTCATGTCATTCCAATATTCCAATATATGACTTTCTTTCTTCTGTGAAACATAAAGGAAGATTTTGAAAAATGTCTCTGTGTTTTTTGTCCATACAATTGAAGTCAACGGGTTCCAATTTTGTGTTTGTTAAGTTCTTCAAAATGTCTGCTTATATGATGACACAATTTTTGGGTGGTCTATCCCTTTAAGAATGCCAAAAAAGGAAGAAATCAATTATCAATGTATTCATTTTAAAATTAAAATTAAAATGTAAATAAAGCATTTTTCCAATTGGCAAATAAATAGACAAATCTAAAACTGTTTATTTAATTCACATTTAAAACCATTTTTAAATGCAAAAATTAATTAACTGAAGTTGTGTGGACTACTTATTGTAGGAAACATGGTGCTTTTGCATCCTTTTTTGAAGCATGAAAGCTTCATTCACCTTTCATTGCAGTTCATGTAAAAGAGTGACCAGCACAGGGTGTCTCCTTTTCGGGTTCCAAAGAAGAAAATGAGTCATATGGGTGTGAAACAGCATGAAGGTGAGTAAAAGATTGAAGAAATTTTCATTTCTGGGTGGACTATAAGCCAGTAGTTCCCGACCAGTGGGCCGGGGTCCACTAGGTGGCATCGAAAAACTTAAATAAAAATATTTAAATTAACTTATATTAAATGGGTCATATGATGTTGCTAAAAAGAACATTATTTTGTGTATTTGGTGTAATGAAATGTGTTTATGCGGTTTAAGGTTCAAAAAACATTATTTTCCACATACTGTACATTATTGTTTCTCCTCTATGCCCCGCCTTTCTGAAACGCGTCGATTTTTACAAAGCTCATCGGTCTGAAAAGCAAGGTGTGCTCTGATTGGCCAGCTATCCAGTGCGTTGTGATTGGCCGAATACCTCAAGCGTGTGACGGAAATGTTACGCCCCTTACCATATTGTGATGCCTTGTCCCGGCCGGAGCGACGAGACAAAAACATTAAAACCCATTATAAACTAGGCATTTGTTTCATCCAGTGGGGACATAATTACGGATTATAATGACTTATACTGTATTTTTACGCGTTGCATCGCGCCGCGTAAACAAAACCATGTCTGCATTTGTGATCGGAGAAACGACAAACAACAAGCCCTACTCTACACTACCCAAAAAACTCGCTTTAAATATAAAAAAAATA